TTTGTGCACATGCTGAACTGGCAGACGATACGTTAGCTCCGAACCGACAATGTTTTCCAGTTCAACATTTGGAATGTTATCCTTAAGGAAATCGGTGACCTCATCCGCATTGCAGTTTTCATCGGCCACACACACCTGGATGTAGATCCGGGAAGTAGATTCGTGTTGGAAGTAGCTAGTGGCGTAGCATGCCGGACTTACCAGACGATATCCGGGACCCAGACTACTAATAATTTTCTCTCCAGTGCCGTAACAGTACACGTGCCCGTCGCGCATGATGGCGATGCGATCGGCTAAGACTTCGGCGGCCTCCATGAAATGCGTGACCATCAGTATGCAGCGGCCAGTCTTTTCCATGCGCAACATGTTCCAGACATCACGGCGGGCGCAAGGGTCGAGGCAAGCGGTTGGCTCATCACACAGCACCACCTGGTATATATGGAGTAAGCCGTGAAGATCCTTGGATCTCATCATTGGGCCACTCACCTTGGTATTGCCGCACAGAGCGCAGCACACGGAGAGCTTGCGCCTCATGCCAGTGGTGAGATATTCGACTCTTATGGTCGACTTATCCAACAGATTCATGATGGCCAGGTACTTTTCGGCCTCCGCTTCCGCTTCGGCCTGCTCGAATCCCTTCAAGCGGCTATAAAATACAATATGCCAATAGGCGCTCAGCTCATCGAACAGGATATTGTGTTGGGGACAAATGCTGAGCGAATATTGGCCCATTTGTCTGGCCGTGGGCATGTCAAGGCCTTCCAAGGTCACTATGCCGGATGTGGGCGCTGTGATGCCTGCCAGCATCATGAACGCTGTCGTCTTGCCCGATCCATTGTGGCCGAGCATCACAGTGATCTCGTTCTCAAAGAATTTCATGCTAAAGTCGTGCACCACCTCGTTGTTGCCGTACGACTTGGATAAGTTGTGTGCCTCCAAGATGACTTTTTTATTGCGAAACGTTTCGGTATCAAAGATTTCCGATTTGCCTGATACGGATGGGTGAAATACTTGCTCTTCATCTTGAAATCGGGGGCCATACCGTCTCCATGGGCACCAGAACGACTTTTGGCAAGGGTAATACCATTTTTTGGCCACACCAAATTCGCCAGGATTCAATTGATCCACATACAGGCCGATTAGGATTCGGAATACGTTCGTGAACAGCATGACCATCAATGTGGTGCCGATGGTCACCTCGTCATCGGGATGGCTGTACTTAAACATATTCTTCCACTGCAGACCCGTGCCCCGCATCTCGAAACTGTGAATCTGATAGAATATGCTGGGCATGGCGCTGTTCATGAACAGAGAGACAATTATTGCCATGGAGTTTTGGTGGCGGGGTCCCAACATCAGAAATGGTAGGTAACTAAGGAGCTGCGTCAGGAATAACGAGGTCATCGACATGAGGGTGCTGGTCACAAAGGCGGTGATCATAAACGTGAAGCACACCAATGTTAATATGTAAACAATGAAGATTAACAGCAACACTAGAAAATTGGAGGCCGGACACATGCACCACTTCATGACGCAAACAACAACGATCGTCGGTACAAAATATAGTAAATAGGCCACTATAAACCACGATAGCCAGTTCAGCGTAACAGGCAGACCCATTATGCGCATTACCTCCCTCAAGTGCCTCTGCTTCTCTGAAACGATTTGCTGTAAAGGACGCCAAAAAATGGAATGCATTAGACACTATTCGAAATTATGATCAGGAAGTATTCGGCATTTTCAGCATCCTTCCCATTTTGGCCAAGAATCACAGGCAGATGTTCGTATAAATCTGGAACCCATCTAAGCTAAGTATCATCCGATGTAGACGCCAGAGAGTTGCAAATGGAATTTAATCTAGATCTAGACTTTTGCACAGGCTAATGAAGTTCGATATAGAAGAAAGTATGTAAATATAATGAACGTTCTGGACACTAGATTATCGACTAGAAATTAAAGATTGTTGTTAATAGCAAAGGCCGAATACTATGAGTCGATGGTCCTGAGTATTAGCATTTAAGAGTATGGCTTAAATAATATTTATCTCGATTGAATTCCGCTAACTACGCTCTTGATGGAATTCTAATACAATGGAGATTTTCGTTTAACTTACCTGACCAATAATCAAGCAGGGAGCCATATAAATAAAGGTAAAGTATGTGGTGAGGTGACTGTATAAAGGAGTCAAATATGAAAAATCCATGTACATCTGTTCGGGAAAGGCCCGCACGCTTATTTGGGGAACAAGGAGCGAATAGTTCTTTCTCTGCAGCAACGCCTCATATAGTTTCGCCTGCACAACCAGATAGCCCTCGTAATCATAGGGGGAGCTCTCGGCAGACTCAAAAGTTTTCAAGAACAAGTTAGGCTGCCAACTTCTTATCAAGGTTTTATTCGATCGGAAATGCAACGGAAATCGCAATGCGATGTTGAACTCCAATGGTAATTCAACAATATTTATAAGATTATCCTCGAACTCAATGCCCACAAAGCCATCTTTATCGTGTAGTGCTTTATCCAAATCAGATGCGTATAAATAAGACTCAATAACTTCCGTGCCCAAACTCGCGGCCACGTCCGTAATGACATCATTAAGGACTTTGTTGCGTGGTGAATAGAATATTGAACTAGGGAAGGAAATTAAACGAATCGGACGATCGAGCAGACGCGCAACGCTCAAATACCTACGATACATTCACCTGCATTATGTCTATGGACCCAAATTTCCTTTCATCAATATTGATTGCGGTGTGAATATTGATGATCTGATCGAGCTGAGTATACATGAATGTGAATATTGGAAACAGCAGTATGAATGCCATTCCAATGGGATGAGCCAAATGGATGCTCAGATTCTTGCAGATTAATAAGCGCAACTTCCTACACGCGCCGTGTTTTTTTACTCGAGGCTCCACAAGCGTTGACATTTTAATTTTGGCTACGCTCTCAGAATTGTTGAAATATAATGCTAGGTTTCAACTTTTGAAGGCGTTACAAGTGCCTGTTAGAGCTGTTATTGTAAAATGTTTTTCACTCTTTCTCTTCAACCACAAACCACTGCACTTGAAATTTGAATATCCGATTTTTTAGGTTTTTTTTTTTTTTTTTCATTTTAATTAGTTTTTTCTTTTGTTTTTTGTATTGTGTATAGAAGAATCATAACCAATAGAAGCGTCAGCCTGTATACAGGGATCGATGCTGCATCAGCCAGCCGCAAGCTTACTTCTTCTTGGACACACCCACGGTACGACCACGACGACCAGTTGTCTTGGTGTGCTGACCACGGACACGCAGGCCCCAGTAGTGACGCAGACCGCGATGCGAGCGGATCTTCTTCAAGCGCTCCAAATCGTCACGCAGCTTGGAATCCAAGTTAGATGAGGTCAGCTGCGAGTATTTGCCATCGATGATGTCCTTCTGTCTGTTAAGGAACCAGTTGGGCACTTTGTATTGCAGAGGATTGGAGATGATGGTGACTACCTTGTCAACCTGTCGAACAACAAATGTAAACAATGTAAATAGGTTTGTCTTCCAGTTTCTTATTTTCATATTTACCTCCTCCTCGGTGCATTCACCAGCACGCTTGGTTAGATCCACATCGGCCTTCTTCAACACAATGTTGGAATAGCGACGACCAACACCCTTAATGGCAGTCATTGCGATGCCAACCTTGCGTTTGCCATCAATGTTCGTATTCATGATACGAAGAATGTGCTGGAACTTCTCTGGGATGACGAGCGACTGCAATTCAAAACATATTTGTATTATTCGCGAATTTACTGGTACGGCACAAATCGTAAACAACAAAAGCCGAAATTGCATTTCCGCCCAAATCAGCGCAATTATTAAGACATTTATATATTATCTAACTGCACCATTTAGGCTTCACCGCGTATAGTTTGACGTGCATTTAGCATTATAGCAGAGAACTGCAACTTTTGTTGTTTGATTGGGTAGATATTTCATGATTTATATGTAGACGCACCATTTTGCCCTGTTTAAGCGACAACTATTCAGCCGAAAAAGAAAGCGGATGCGCTGCTTCTTTCCACTTTTGACGTTGACAGTTCGAAAAACGGTGTGCAACAACGTTAAAAACCTGATGTTTATGGAATTTCACAGGGTTACTTTGAACTCGGTAGCCCTGGGAAAAGTGCCGTTACACCGAAAAGTTTCTACTTTAATAATGAGTGGTAAATGTTCTTAAATATTTAAATGTGAGTAAAATATTTACATGTAAATATTTCTAGCGCTCAGCTGTGTAACCGAAAATGATATTAGGGCATTGCGTACTATATGTACGGTAGAGCCTAATCAACAGTACAATATTGAAGAAGTAGATATGTACGGAAATACAGCTTTGCTCAAATCATGCTACCTGGGTAGATTGGAATGTGCACGTACATTGCTAGAGTTCGGTGCAAATATTTACGCCGTCAACTATTTTGGCCAAAACGCGCTAACGCTGGCCAGCTATGCTGGAAACTTGCAGCTAGTACTGGAGTTGCTGCATCGGCGCACATATCAGGACTTTAATTTATCCTCGCTAATACCAGCCGTTTGTGTGGCAGCCATGCGACAGCATAAAGTTTTGGTGGAATATTTTACGACTTTAGATCCCATAGGAACACCAAATTTACGAACTGTGCATGGTAAGTTTATACATAAATTAATTATATACAGGCAAATTGTTAATTAAAACAAAAATATTACTAGGCCTTGGAATAAATGAATTGGGTCGCATGTTAAAACCAAGAAATTTACCGCAGATCAAATTAGTAAACAAATATCATTAAGTGTATGTAACAAAACGATATATTTATTTGTAATAAATTTAAACACATTTAAACATAAATACTACAAACTATATTTATCAGGGCTACATTTATTACACCTTCTTAAATATGTTTGTAAATTGAAGTGATTGGGCAACGCTGTGCCCAGTGCAGATTGACAGCTGTTCGCGCCAAAATGCGAGTTTTACCGCGGTAGAATTCATTAAATAGTCTCATAGGCAACACGCAGCATCAAGTCGCTCAGCGAAATTTCAAAAACTATCATTCCACAAATATAATTTAAATTAAATAATCAATATGTTTGAGGCACGTTTGGGACAAGCCACGATATTGAAGAAAATCTTGGATGCCATCAAAGATTTGCTCAATGAAGGTACTTTTGACTGCAGCGATTCTGGCATACAGGTAAGAACAGCTACATCCTGTTTAAATCATATACATATAAGGTATTTATATGTTTCATTTACAGCTCCAGGCCATGGACAACTCCCACGTGTCGCTGGTTTCGTTGACGTTAAGATCAGATGGCTTTGATAAGTTCCGCTGTGATCGTAATCTCTCCATGGGCATGAATCTGGGCAGCATGGCGAAGATCTTGAAGTGCGCTAATAATGAGGATAATGTGACTATGAAGGCACAGGATAATGCCGACACAGTTACCATCATGTTCGAGTCGGCTAATCAAGAAAAAGTCTCCGACTATGAGATGAAATTGATGAATCTCGATCAGGAGCACTTGGGTATTCCAGAAACAGAGTATTCTTGTGTGGTGCGAATGCCCGCAATTGAATTTGCGCGCATCTGTCGTGACTTGGCTCAGTTCAGTGAATCCGTTGTCATTTGCTGTACGAAAGAGGGCGTCAAGTTCTCGGCCAGCGGTGATGTTGGAACGGCCAATATTAAGTTGGCTCAAACTGGTTCAGTGGACAAAGAGGAGGAGGCTGTCACCATTGATATGCAGGAACCAGTCACGCTAACTTTTGCTTGTCGCTACCTGAACGCCTTCACCAAGGCAACGCCACTCTCCACCCAGGTGCAGCTGTCCATGTGCGCAGATGTGCCGTTGGTGGTTGAATATGCCATCAAGGATCTGGGTCACATACGCTACTATTTGGCGCCAAAGATTGAAGATAACGAGACATAAGGCTGTCGCGCGATTTACCCAGAACGTATTCATTTTTACATATTTACATTTACCGCATAATAATTATCTTACATACGACATCTAAGTTTTAAGATCTTTCATTCAGCATTTCCTCGGGCAAATAAAACATATTTCAAAACATAAATCATTCGTTGTTTGGCAATAACCATTTAATATCATAACACTGGGTACATTTAATATCAATAGAGTTGGCATATGGTTAAATTATAGCAGATCGCCTAAATCTGTTGTCGGGAATTAACAGCAACTGAAATTCGTCGAAATAATCATTTGCAAATGATAAAGCTGTCTTCTCTAAAAAACTTTGCAAGCTTCCGAATGTCATCAACTTAGGCTAAATACTCGTTCATAACAGGCACATTTTGAGGGTTTGCATGAGTGTTGTGCGAGTACATTTTTGTTTCTTAGAAAATATTTTAGAGCGTGTTTACACGCTCTCAATACTTGAACAATTGGCTGTGTAAATCTGGAAGCTTTAGCCTATCTATAATATTAGCTAGAGCTGCCATTACAAAACATATAAAGCTAATCTAATTCATAATATCATATATAAAAGTGTATAAAAACATTTGAGATGCGACTAAAGCAAGAATTGTGCGACACAAACAACATGTCCATGTTGCATACAACAAACCGTGTATAAATATTAATATATGAGTATAAATATGTGTATATATATACATATACATATGTATGTATAATTTATGCTTGTAGGGATTAGTACATATTCTTTTTAAGGCGCCGGCGATGCAGCTGAGCACGCACTGGGACTGGAAGTCGCGTCGTATGCGGTGCTATCGTCGTTGTTATCTTTACTTGCCTGGAGCAATGCCTGCAGTGATTTGATGCACAGCTTGGACCCATCCATTGCCTCATTGGACAACTGTAAGTAAGATTTATTATTAGCTTGTATAAATGAATTCAAAGGAGACAAATTTCGTACCATCGTAAAATTTAGAAAGCCATGGGGCAAGCCTTCAAGTATCTGCAAGTGGACTTGGCCACCCAGACGCTTCAGCTTTTTGGCAAGCATGACGCAATCATCGAGGCAAGGATCCATGTTAAGCGTCTGCAAGAGATATGAATTAAAGTTAAATTTTAATATGGTTTATTGTATATTTAGTTTCAATCTACACTTACAAGTATGCTGGTCTCGGGTAATTGGGAGAGCCACTCGTCGCTGGCCCAGTATGGGGACAGAAACGGATCTTTGGGCACCTCGAAGGCAAACTCTTCGCTGGGACTGCGGGCAATCAAGGCATCCAAATTGCGAACATCCTGCTGACCAGACGTCGTGCTGCTCTGTATCTCATAGGATTGGGTGCAGCGATTAATGATATTATTAACAGCCTCCTGCAAGCGGCCTGGCAGCGTGTCCACAATTATCTCACGACCTGTCTCAATTATAATGTTCTCTTCGGAGTTACTCTTGTTGACACCATTGGCCAGTGGCAATGGCGGAGGTGCTGTTGTGTTATCCTCGGTGGCTTCTATGGTAGCCGTATCAATCAGATATTTATCTAGAAAATGGTCAATATAGGCGGCAGATTCGGCATCCTTCGGTACCTCGGCAGAAATGTCAATCGGATAATGTTCGATGGGCTGCGAGTCATCCTCGAACGACACACAGGAGCTATTATCGCTATTATCAGTGCTGGGCAGATCTGTGCGCTCCACCGTCTGACTGTGATAGGAGGCGCTGGCAAACGTGTCGCTGCTCTCATCCTCATCCGAGCGATTGAGCGGTTCGAGCGGTGTCAGCGGGCTCTTTGCCGTCGACGTGCGTCGACTGGAGTTCATGCTGTGTGCAAGCTTCTCTACTTCCTCAGCGCGTGCCTGTGCTTCTGCGTTGCTCTTTTCTTCTAGCTCCTCCAAATGCTTCTCTTGCATTTTTTCATTAGACGGCGCCGCGTAGGCGCGCAAGCAGCGCATCATGAAGCCGAATGGCAGCAACGGATCCATTAGACACAACAGCCTCGCCGGACTGGGCACAAAGCTAACTAGCGTAGGACAGTAAGCCAGAAACAGACCATCCGGCACTCGTACATTCTGTTCAATGCATTTAAGCGCCAAGCCGATGGAGAGATTGGCGCCCGCTGAATCGCCAGCGCAAATCACACGCTCTGCTGTCGTTCCCAGATGTTGTGCGTTGTTCAGCAGCCAGCAGTAGGCGTAGTATACCTCCTCCAGGGCACGTGGGAAGGGTGCCTCCGGTGCCAGGCTGTAGTCCACCGAGAGTATTGGCACGTCCAGCGCCACAGCCCAGTCGCGTAGATATAGCTCATGCGATTTTGAAGATTGCGCCACAAAGCCACCGCCGTGACAGTGAAATAGTATTGATTTCGAAGGCGCCGATGGGCGACGCCAGCCACGATAGCGACCCTCGCCCAGCATACCAGCTCGTCGCTTCGCACTGAGCAGGCGCACCGAAACCGGCAGACCAGGTCCCAAATGTGAACTGGGCACGGGTATATCAACGAACTGCAGCTCATTGTCAGTGTCCGTGGCGTTGCCTGGTTTTTGCACACGTGCTGGCAAACGAAGAGGCTCGGCGGGCAATTCAATTATGCGATTTACTTTGATGGAGCTGCCCACAATGCTGGGCAGTTTGTGCATGAGTTCCGATTCGGCAAGAAACCAAAATGACTTGCAGAAATCGATTTTCGCATTCTGCGAAATGTTTACAATACGTCTGGCACGCAGCTCCGGATTCATGAGGTATTTACCGCTCGACCAGAGACTGCGAGTGGTTTTTAGCAGTGAGCTGCTGCTATTGTCTGTCTGGGAGTAATACGTTTCCGAGTAGCTGGCCATGCCGATGCCTAGAAAGCGAAGCACACCACGTATGGAGTCTCCATACTGAAAGCCTAAGCAACGGCCATAGAAACAATACTGATTGATGGTGTCGCCCAATTCGAAGAGCTGTTCGGCCGTATGCCGACCGCTGCCCAGCAGATCGCCCGTATTCATGGACCATTGGCGCAGTATCAACAGATACTGTAAGCAGGTGCAGATCGAGCACAGCAACTGGGAGCAGGCTTCTACCTCCTTCATGTAGAACTTCTTGCGAAAGAAGAGTGTGGCGCGAGTGGCAAGCAAGTGCTGGCAAATGCTGAGCCCATGGTCGATGCATGCATTGGTTACATAAATAAAGCTACGATATCCGTTTCCTGGGGTTGATTCGTCAAAATCATATTCATGGGCAAATGTTTCGATTTGCAGTACCAGACGATTCGCTAGCACTATGAAATCTTGCCAGGCAATATGTGCGGCATGCAGCCGTTGTCCATACTCCGTATGATCCTTGGCAAAGTAAGCGGCGTGCTCCTGGCAATTGGTGTACAATTTCAGATAGGTAGGCTTCAAATCGGCGGGTACAGTGGGTGTGGGAGGGACTGTTTGTGCTACGATTACTTTTCCATTGAGCTCTTGCTTCGATCGAGCCAACTTGATGTTATGCTCAAAGTGGGCATTTGGCTTGGGAGTGTGATGGCCCACCTCAGATGCTTCTGCTGCAATCATTGCGGATCTGAGAAAATCAACCGAACAATATTTAATTATGAAGATGTATAACTAAGATGTTTTGCTTGGGATGTTATTTTAATTACTTAATAATTATGGCATTCTGATATACACTTCAGCAATTGAAAGCTTTTTTAATTAGGAGTATAACAACTTTCACTTCACAAACTGCGCACTACTCAATTTTCCGTTTCGCATTACATGGCAGGTTTGTCCAAATCTGTCTCACTGATGAAGTGCGGAAATTAGAAACTTACTGTTTTTATACACCTAATAGCTAATTCACTTCATGGCTAACTAATACAATTGATTTAAATTCAGGTAATTAAATGTCGCAATATGATATGGCATGCAATAGTGTTGATTAAGTGGATTTTCCGTTTAAACGCGCTCTTTAATTCATTAAGTTAGTGAATCATTTCATGAAGCTTTTTCAGCAATGGTTTCTATTATTTCAGCAAACTATATTCGTTAGTATTATTTATTCACTACCATTCCAATCAAAAGAAGAACCCAATCACAATCACAACAATTGACCGCAAATAATAGAACAGAACTAGTTCAGTCTCAGCTGACCAGCTCTAGATTGTGTTTTCCAGCACTATTTCATAGCATCGATATATCGATAGCATTGCATACCATCACATTTATTTTATTTCGCAACAGAATCATCGGATCGGTGCATTGCATTCGCTGCAGATTCTTATTCATTTAAACTATAATACTCAAATAAAAATAATGTAAGAAAGGATTGCGCGAGTATTAGAAGAATAGTATACGCAATCATGAGTGTAAGCATTGTGCAGTACTTTGGCGAGCAGACAAACAAATGTGGCTATTGTTCGGGCACCAACTGCAGCAAATCGCATGGTAAGTGAGCTACAAAGAATTTATTTCCGAATCTCTTATTTCTTTGTGCGTGCGTCATACAGGTATGCATGCATATCGCTTAGCCTGCGAAGACTACCAAGACCTCATCGATCGGGGCTGGCGACGCTGCGGCAACTATTGTTATAAGCCACAGAATGACAAAACCTGCTGTCCCTGCTACACGATTAAGTGCGATGCTCTGGAGTTCAAACTGTCCAAGTCCAATAAACGCATTTTGAGGCGCATGAATAAGTTTCTGCGGGATGGCAAGCGTGAGCCGAACGAGCAGCAACATACGCCGGGTCAACCCAAAAATGGTGATGGCGATGACGTTGATGTGTCGGGTAGTGCAAATGAGTCTCAACCACAGCTACCTGATAAGAAGCCCTCAGTACTCAACGTGGAGCATGTTGAGAATTTAGTTCAGGCGCATGTTGAACAAATCAAAACATCGAACACCATTCAAGTGTCAGGCGACCCATCGGCGTCCTTGTTAGCCAACAACAAAATTAAAGGTAAGTAATGAAACATTTGCTCAATCTATGTATGTCGATTAAAGGGATTTTCCTACAGCATTTGCCCCCAATTTGAATCCGCCTCGGAAGAAGGCGAAACAAATGCGCATCGAACGCCGACAAGCCAAATTGGGCGTCCCGCATGAGCAGCCACAGCCGCAGTCGAAAATACAGGAGAAGACCTTAAAAGATTTTCTGTCTGCCCCCAAGGAAACTG